AGACTAGGAAATATTCTGGATTGCCTTGTACTCCAAGTAGATCATCTACTCCTATATATATGCCCACGAGGCTCAAGCAATACATTGAACTATTCCACCAACCCTCTCTCTCTCACTTCAACAGAGACGAAGACCCTTCTTCTTCCTTGTCGGTATGATTTGTTGCGGCTGTTTTTCTCCTTCCTCTGCGCCGATGCTGGAGGGAGATTCTGCTTTGCCCGGGTGGATGGCCCGGCCGCGGTGCTGGACCGGTCGGATGACTCGAGTTCTCTTCCATCAGGAAGGGACATTTTTCGCGGTACTCAAAGCCAAAGCTGGCGACGGCTGTTGCATGTGTGTTGGATTGATGCCCATGCCCTCTGAGCGCTGGTGTCAAGAAAGGAGAAAGTAGCGTGGCGGCAATTGTACCGTGGTCGAAGATGATGACCTGCTTGCGCCTGGTTGCGGATTCTTCTGCTTGAGGGGTCTTCTCTCAAGATTCAGGGATGATGTCAAAAGGCTCCACAGCTCTTCTTGTGTTATGTTTGGCTTAGGGTACTCTAATTGTTCATCGTCCTTTGTGTTTACGTTTCAATGTGCTTGTAAGGATCAACTACTTTGTACTGTTTCGTGATTTGAATGAAAAATTCTAAAAAAAAAAAACAAATGCACCGTGGCCAGATCTATTTGCCGACTATAGACTACTTTTGGTTTCTTCTCGTAAGGACTACTTTTGCGAAACCCAATACTACAACACATACGTTCACAAATACGCACACGTAAGGAATAATAATATGCTAAAACAGCGCTAGTAGTATGGTCTTTGCATGCTTGGTGCTGCTGCATGTGGGCTGTGGAGGTTTTTGAGCCTACTGTCTGCATGCATCTCGATAATAATAATCCAATTCAATCCAATCCAATCCAATCCAATCTTATGGTCTTTGCATGCTTGATACAGTGCCTACCAATCCAATCCGACTGGTCAAACTTTGCGTGCGCCGTAGTGGTTGGCTATGCTGGCATGAATAATAATAATGATCCTTTACTTCCTTTCTCTCTCTGTGCACGGTGCAGTTTAGGATAGTCGTAATGAAAGTATCATAAGCGGTATTATGCATGTCAAATAGACCTTTTGGATCATGTGGCAGAGAATTAAATGAGGAAAGAAAGGATGTGGTATCATATTATGATATCGTATCATATTAAATATAGTACTACTTTGTGTCATGCATGTCAATTAATGAGGCAAACTAAGATACTAGGTTACGATACTATGCATTACGGAAATAGTATCATACACGAGTATCATATGCATGATACTAGTATATGATACTCTCCATTACGACCTGTCTTACTACTGTAGCGTCATGTGGGTCACGAGGAGCAGACCGCGTGTTCCACGAAAAAAAAACCGATACGGGCCCTCTGTGGAACACAGTGCCCTGTCTACCTCCGTACCAAAAGATAAATTTTTTACTGTTTCTTTACAAAGATTTATTTTAAATATATATAAAATGTTAGTGTAAAATTAGTATTATGAGAGGGTGTGTTTCAATAGTAAACCAACGATACTGATTTTCCACTATAGGAATTAAGTTTTAGTTGCTTTATTTATTCGGTCCAACTTGTATAGTTTAACGTAGATAGATAAGAAAGGAATAAATTGTGAAAACCATCAAGACTCTGGCTCTAATACCATGTTAAGCTTCATTCTCTAGGCAATTATTGCAATAATAGACCGATCTGACGGAAAGAGCTAAGCAACCGAGTTAATTATACAATTAGTTAGTTTAACAGTAACACTTAACTGGCAGCAGGTGTTACATTGCAGCCAGCGAGAGCGAGAGCCTTCCCCCTTCCCCGCCATGCGCTACTCCGGCGCTGGCGACCACCGCGCCTCTGCGCCCCCGGGCCGTGCCACTCCGGCCATCCCAGCCACCCAGGCTCCCGGCCGTGCCACTAAGGCCTTCCCGGCCACCCAGATCTGTTCCCCCGCCCCCCGCTGCTTCCTCGCGCGACCAGGGCTGCCAACCCTAGATCCGTCTCCTCCCAGGTCAGGCCGGCGGGGGAGAGGCCGGTGGTCTCTGGGCTGGGGCTTTCGGAGGGCTTGGCTGAGTCGGACCCGCAGCCGGCGGTGGACTCCGCGCCTCGCCTGGAGGCTCCTGCTGCGGGCTGGGAGCGGCCTCCTCCCACCAAGAAGGAGCTCTGGCGCCTCCGTCATGGACAGGGCGGCCAGGGCGGAGATGTTGCGGCTGGGCGGCACGTGCCTTCGCCGCCGCCGGCGGAGATGATCCCGGAGATGCGAGACAAGTGCTTCAGGTGCCTCGAGAAGGGCCACTTCCGGTGGGACTGCACCAACCAGGAGGTCTATATCAGGTGCGGTTGGCCGGGTCATGGCTCCCGCGATTGCAAGAGGCCGCGGAGCCCCTCTTCGGTTGATGAGCTCCGACGCGAGGCGATCGCCAAGGTGGCACGCCACTCGTCTCCCCGGGTCAGTCCAGACCGCACGGCGCCTCATGCGGCCTTCCCACCCCCACCGCCTCCGCCGCTGCACCCCCCTCGCTTCGTGCTGCCGCCGAGGCGGCCTGGCCGCGTCTTGCACCCCCGCGGCTCCAGGTCGCGCTGGATGCGGGGGAAGGTGCGTATGAGCTTTGTGTGGTGCGGCGCTCGCAGTCCATGGAGGACTTGGAGCGCCGGCTACGCTTCGCCATGGTCGCCTACGTGGGTGGTGCCCGGAGACGCCTCTCGCTGCAGCGGGTGCTGGAGATCTTGGCGGGGTGGCTCGACATCTCGGCGGATCATGTCTCGGTGCACTCTTACCGGTCGGAGGATTTTCTGGTCGCTTTTGCGTCGGCTGAGCTTCGGAACAGGGTGGCGTTGTGCCCGGCGTTGTAGTGGGAGGGCGATAGGCTGTTCTTCAGGCCATGGAACCGGCAGTCGCAGGCAGTCTTCTCGACCATGGGCTTCAAGGTCTGGATTGTCATGGAGGGGATACCACCACACGCTTGGGATCGGAAGACGACAGAGGAGTTGTTGGGGACGGCGTGCAAGGTGGACTCGGTTGCGCCGGAGTCAAGTTCAAGAGCTGATCTTTCTGCGTTCAGGCTCACTGCATGGACTGCAAACCCGGAGGAGATACCTTCGCTGCGCTGGCTTGCCATCTCGGAGCCAAGCTCGGAGATCCTACCACCATTGTTGCAGTACAAGATCCTCATCCATATCGACGCAGTGGCGAACTTCCGTGAAGCAGGGGAGCCGTGGTTCGTGGGAAGTTCATCCGACAGTGGGCAGAGTGGCTTGCTAGATTCTCCGGACGGTTTCCATGATGGAGGTGGTGGTCAGAGGCCACAATGGCGAGTTTGGCAGTTCGGTGTCAGAGATGTGCGCGGCGGTGAGCAGGGCTAGGCTTTCGGCGGTGGCGGTGGCGGCCATGGCGCGGCAGGGAGGGCAAACGAGGGGCTGGATTGGCGCCTACCTCCCATGCCCCCACCCCGAACGTTCTGCATGTGGGGCCACCAGAACGCCTTCTGGATAGGGTTGCCGTCAGGGTGTCTGCTTTTGACCGCCTTTTGGGTCAGCAGGCACATGGAGAGGGGAGCGGGACGGTTCTAGAGCCAAATTCGAACCTGACTGGCGCGGACAAGTGGCTGGGACAGACGGGCGCACTTTGACGGCGGGACCCCGGACGGAGGAGACGGAGCAGCATCCAATGGAAATGGTCATTGTGCCGTTGGGGCAGGGACGGCGCCTGAGCTTGTCATCGGATCGGGCGGTCGAAGTGGTGGTTGGCGCGCGCAGCCCGAGTGATTCCCGCAGTGCCCCACGGGCGAATGATGACATGGACATGGTGGTTCTCGCGGATCTAGGGAGACTGGACCCCCCGGTGCGGGAAAGGCTGAACCCGCCAGCTGGCGTGACTGCAGGCTCCGTGTCGGGGGATGGGATACCGGACGGGTCCCAGGAGGTGGGGCTGGCTGAGGATCCCAATGCAGTTGGGGCGGTGTGCAACATGGCGGGCCCCGTGCTCGGATCGAATGCAGAGATGGCTACTGGTGGGTTGGGTGAAGGAAATCGCGTGGTATTGACTACTGGTGGGGCCGGTTATCGAATGCAGAGATGGCTACTGGAGGGTTGGGTGAAAAAAAAGTTAGTTTAACAGTAACTGTGATGCCAAGACAAATCATTGGGGTCAAAATTACCGAAATATTTATTTACTCCGGTTGTACACGGGTCCGCTTGTACACGCGCATGAGCTGCCACGGAGCCACACTGTGGCCGGCCTACTGGGGAGCCCGAGTCAGCGAGGCTGCTTGAGAACCAAGCTGCATGTCCTCGTGTTTGGAGAGGCGAACGACGAGTTCGCTAGAGACTTCGTCGGAGAAGGGGCGGTGGTCAAAGGGATGTGAGAGAGGTGATTTTTTTTATTGGGCTGTAAGGTGGGTCCTTGTCCACATCAGCTGGGTATTAATTCGTGGCCAACACGTTGAAAAATCCACCGAATAGTCATCACATTTTATCATGCAATCAGAAAGCCGTGGTGTTCACAACATTTTGGACAAGTGGGATAGTTATTTCATGCTAACAACTCATTGAGACCGGACTATGTACTTGCAGAGTAAAGACTCTATAGCTACGACAAATAATTTGGATCAGCGGGAGTAGAACAAATACACGTGTAAATGTTTGGTAACTGCAGAAGAAATGTTAATGTATGTAAAGAAAAGAACAATTTATGTAGATTACATAGGTGCGGTACAATGGGCGGAAAAAATGAAATAAACTAAAGAGAAGCAAATTTGAAAAATCTATAAACAAAAAGTAAAACTTAAATGCAATAATACAGGTGACATTTATTACAAATCAAATGACGAGCAGAATAAATACTCCTTCCTTTCCAGTTTATAAGTCTTCCACGTGTATCTTGGCTGCTAATTTACCAAGTTGATTACACGTGCAAGACTAATAAAACACGTAAGGACGGAAGGAGATAGTATCTCCGAAGTGGAAGTATATAAGAACATTTAAGGGTATACTTCGATAATTGATCGAATCCCATTGGTTGGAGTGATCTTGTAGTCGCTGAACCCGGCTTCGGAGAAAATCAAGCTCCACTCGTTTTCCTCTCGCTCCATTCCATCGGAGCCCATCATGTAGATATCTAACAAAACCTGCGCCTCTTTGGAATGGTTGGGCTGAGTCACCGGATATCCCACCACCATGTCGATGATTATCACCTTTCCTCCGGCTTCTTTCGCTGGGATCGCTTCCTTGCACCGGCGCATTATCTTGACGCAATCTTCGTGTTTCCAGTCATGCAAAATCCACTGGAACCAAACATACATATTATATCCCATTAGCATAGTAGACCAGCAGAAAAAGGAAGAACATATCCAAAAATAAAAATAAAAATAAAAAATTACCTTGAGTAGAACAGCATCCGCAGGTGGGACATACTCGAACATATTTCCAGCGACGAAGGTCAAAATGTCGCTGGCGGGAGCCGCGGCGACGACGTGTGGGAGGTCCAGAACGCTGCACTTGAGGTGCGGGAACGCTCTCGCCACGGCCGACGCGGTGGCGCCATGGTTGCCGCCGATGTCCACCAGCGAGCTTTTCACTTCCCCGAACGCTCCGCCGTGCTCCTTCAACAGGACCTTCATGGCGATGCGGCTGTCCGCGGCCATGCCGTCGTTGAACAAGCCGCCATCGACCTTGGTGGTGTCCCAGAACGTGCAGCCGTTGGCCAGCTGGACGAGCGAGTGCGACTGTGCCGACTCTCCCTCTTGGCCTTGGGTAAACCACTCGGGCATTTTGAGGAGAGAGGTCCAGCATAACGTGTTGACGATGGTGCCCACCATCGGGGACAGGTTGTGCGGTGATCTCTCGACAAGGAGCCGGGAGACCCGCGTGAGCTTGTAATACGCAGCGCCATCACCGGCGTGGTCGTTGCTGCCTTTGCCTTGGACAATGGAGAATACCCCGGTGGTGGTGAGCACCCGCATGACCCGTCGGAGGTTGGAGCGCTTCGTGGGGTGGATCCCGGTGTCGGAGGCCAGCTCGGACAAGGTGGCGGCGCCGCCGCGGCGGTGGATGGCGTCGGGGATGCGCAGGTCCGTGGCGGCCTTGAGCGCCAGTGACTTGACGAAGGCGAGGCCGTGGTGGTAGAGCTCCAGCTGAGCTTGAAGTAACTCGTCGCTGCTCATGGCGAGGTCTTGGTCTCGTTCGATGTGCTGCGCGGCCGGCATGGTGTATGTGTATGATCGATCGAGTGTGGTATGCTAGCTGCTACCTGCTTCTTGCTTCTTCCTTACGTAGAGAAAACGTAGTACCTTCTTATAGATGCATGCGCATGGTATCCTAGTAGCTAGTTTCCTTTTGCGGGTTTTTTTTAGGGAAGCTTCCTTTTGCGGGTTGGTTTGAGGTTACTACTTCTAGTTGTAGCCTCCTGTGTGGACGTAGTTTCCCACCCCTACGACTCGATCGTGTGCACGATCTCGGTCCCCACCGACGAATGCATGTTCAAGACACCCACCCCTTGATGCATGTTCAAGACAATAGCATTTGTCAAGGGGCTAAACAAGAGATGACCTACAAAAAAAACCCTTGTTTGGACCCGTTGTTCTAAAGTCCGTGCACTTCGACCCTACCTAATTGTTCACTCAAGCACCACATCACCTTGTGGTCGGCGGGTTAGGAGTAGTAACTACCGTGTGTCCCCAGGGCGCTACGCGTCCAGGTTTAGTACAATATTGATGCCATCTTTCCAAGTGACGGTATCTTGACAAGTGTTGCTCAGCTCTGGTTTGGCTTGGCAGTGGCTAGGCAGCCCGCCCGGGATAGATCCCCGTTGGGGACGATTGCTGGTGTCTCACCAGGGATTGGCACCCGAATAGCATCCCTACGCTTTCGTGCCACGCAAAGCAACGAACGAACAAAAACAAAAATACTAGAAACTTGAGACTCTAGAAGAATAGAAGAAGCAACGGAAGTAACCAGATCTGGATAAGTGGCGTATGACGAAACCTTGGAATAGAAGAAGAAGATATTGGAGGCTGAGCTTGGAAGACAAGAAGGAAACAAAAAGATGGTTAGAAGAGTAGAAGAAGCAAGATGGTAGAAGAGTATAAGAAGCAAACATGAGTGCCAAGTTAAAAAAAGTCAGAGGATAGAAGAGTAGAAGAAGCAACAGAAATGACTGGATCCGGACAAGTGGCAAGAAACCTTAGAATTAGAAGAAAGAAGATATTGAAGGGCTATATGAGCTTGAAAGACACCAAGGAAAAATATGGTAGATGAGTAGAAGAAGAAATCATTAGTGCCAAGTAAAGTCTAAGGATAGTTGTTGGAATAGCTCTAGTCTCTTAGAGAAAGTTAAGAATAGTTGTGATAATAGTTGTAATAACATGGTAAGGAGTAGTATTTTGTTAGAGGTAGTTTAGAAAGAGGTGGAATTTAAGTTCTGTTCAATAGTGTCTTGCTGGTGTGGTGGATGAAAAAACTAAGTTTGTAATCCTGTTTATCTCTAGTTTCATTCGAGTAATGGAATTGGGAGCTATGCTCCTTAATTCAAAAAAAGAAGTGATGGTATCTTTTAAAGTTTAACTTTTATAATGCCTTCCGTTCAATTTGTGCCGTCTCATAAAAGTCATCTTGGAGCATCCAAGATACTTCAAATGAGAAGCCGTTCCTATTACCGAGGTGTGCCAAATTTACGGATCAACTTAGACTAGTCATAAAAGTAGTAACGTAGGTAGTAACATAAAACTCAATGTAATGCCAACAAGATATCTTGAGTACATGGCATGTCAACGAATGAGGAAGAGAATCTTGTGATAACTAGCTATGTTACCATATAACATCACAAACTCCAAAACAAGATTAGTATACAACCTAATAAATGGACCTTTGCATGATACTAGGCATTAGTTACTACCCACTATGAAGGTGGTAACATAGACTAGAAACATAGGCACGACACTAGTTTATGTCACTCCCCACAATAACTAGTCTTAATGATATGGGCCTTCGTCTATTGTTCTGGGCTTGGTCAACGGATGCCGAACTGAGCTACACCAATGATAATAGCTTGGGTTTGCAGAAAATGGAAAGTTACCTATTTGACAGAAGAAATTGTGCGTTTGGCTATTTTGCAGAAAATGATGTATTTTGCAGAAAATGGAAAGTTAACTGGGTAAATTTTTTTATTAATTTTTTGTTTACACATGTACAAAAAAAGTATGTACAAATCTAAAAGAAAAGAAAACATAGAAAGTCAAATAAAGTTACCTGTCCAATCAAAAAAAATTACATAAGCATTCTGTTTAATCCTAAATATTATCCATCTAAGATCCTCTTTAAAGAAAGCCCTTGCTGTGAAAAGACTTGGTCTCTTATATTCTTAAATATGTCAACATTTGTGGTTTACCCAATAACCCATGCACCAAGCCTGATGATTTCTATGAAAAAACATTCATGAGTTTGCAGAATGTCTTTTAGTTTACATTCCCGTTTCCACATATAAGTTCCCGATCCCAAAAATTACATTTTTGTTTCATCCTTTACATTTTTGTTTCATCCTTTCTACGCTGTTATCACCCCTACACAATAGAATACTTATGACATACATACATAATGCATATTTGATCATCTATTAGACACATAGGAACATCTCAGGCACTAGCACTTGATGGCCTTTTGTCAAATACAGAAAATCCAAATCATCACGTCGCATCAATCCATGTCACCTCTCCTCCTTGCCTTCATGGCCAGCCAGGAGAGCCTTCACCGCACCACCAGTAATCTCGACGGTAGCTAGCAACCTCAAGGTTATTCAAGGAGGTGTTGCCCCTTTCTTCCACTACTTTCTTTGGCTAGAAGAGCATCAGCGCGAAGAAGAGACCTAGGATGCCGGGGATTTGACCTAACGTGGTGTTCTCCAAGTAGTACAAGTTAATGACAAGTCCTCCCTCCGTTTCAAAATATAAGATGTTTTAGCTTTGTGAAGTGAGTGTATCTAGACTCTTTTGATGTTTAGGTTCACTCTGAACTATACACTAAAGATATCTAGATACATTTGCTTCACAAAGCTAAAACGTCTTATATTTTGAAACGGAGGGAGTAGGTGTTAAAGGGGACTGCCAGAATTGGGAGTGTAGGAAAGGAGCATGTCGTTTCGTGTAGGATGCAGTTGTGTCCAGACCTGCTTCAAGAATTGAAGTGTTGGTGGGGAGGTGTGACGAAAGGGATCCAACTTTACGTTATTTGATTAACACGTGTGGTGTTAAAGAAAGAATGATTAATTTAAGGTTGTAGTAGTTTCTCCTAGTTGGTTTATGAGGCGTATGAATTGAGCCGACGGTTCAGACCAAACGACAAAGATTAGTCCCATAGATCCAACAAGACACAATCATTAGAAGAAACTGTAATAAAACTAATAGTATCAGGATAGGCCTAGGCCCATCAATTGCCAAAGCAACGCACAAAATCCTCACGCAACTATCTCCTGCGAGCACACCGCCGCCTCCACATCAACCAGCCACCACGCCGCCGCCTACACATCCAGTCATCCACCAGCCACCACACCCCCACCTCCATCTAGCCCACGGCGACTGCCCATTCCACTGCCCAGCACTCTGCCGCCAGCTTGACAGCGTTCGTTACCTCGGCAACATCGGACGCCTCATCTTTGGAAGATGTGTCACTCTGCCGAACCCCCTGTTGTAAACTAGCTGCCTTTGACGGAAGCCCAGACTATGCCCTGTTTGATTTATGGTTTCACTTACAGGTACGTGAGTGGTACTACTAATTCTAATTTCCTAGCAGACATGAGCACCCAATTATATGAGCCCTTATGCAGCAAGAGACCCAGGAAAGCATTCGTGATGGAGATTGGTCGTGCAACATGATGCTCTGGCTCTGCTTTGAATTTCCTGCATATTTACCTTACTGACAAGCACCACTGAAATGGAAATTAGAATCACCAAATTATGTTAGTTATGAAGCAGGTTGATGTTTGAACAATTTACCAATGTCGGGGACACAACTAGTACACATGAAAAGCCCAACAACCATTGGTGTATGTAGATGATATGACCTTCAACCTTTTTAGTCTTTGTTCCATTTACTGAAGTGTTGTATCACTTAATTCTGTGAATCATTTATCAACCAAACCCAGGTATCCATTCTAATTATTTGTGTTAGTACCAAAGGTAATTGTATGAAAATAATTATTTGTTTTCCATGGAAAATAATTTCTCATCTATATTGTTCTGCCAACTGTATTTCTAGTATCCTATGCATATTATTTACCGTCTCTTTTTCTTTATATACCATGCGGTTTGTGATTTCTGAAAACAATCAATCAAGTCTGTGATACTCATCTATATTCTGGTGAGTTAAAGATCCATATGAAGTTTGTTGGGCATCATCTGATCTTATTCTCTGCCTTGTCTAGAGTTGATTAGCTCTAATGTTTATATTAGTATTCTTAATGCTCAAGTTTGCGTGTTCGATTTGTTGGAAAACAGATGAATGCAACAATTGATCAGGTTCAAGAAAGATGAAGCAAGAAATGTTATTTCCTAGGCTCTAAATCTGAAGCTTCCTTTTGATGAGATAGATTTGATGGAGGAGAACCTAGAGGTGGAGCTGATCAGGAGGCAGCTGGGTCTTGAGCATGTCAGGTCCTGATGATAAGTCAATTTTGACGTTAAATGTGAACCTATTTCTAAGATGTGTCAATCACAATTTTTTCTCAAGGACCAAATTAGTTGCTGAAATCTGCTGTTTTCCCAAATCATCTACTCTTCTGGGAGCTCTCTGTGTTATAATCGGTACTAGTACTTCTCAAGCAGAGCAATAATACTGATATAAAAAGGTACGTATGCTTTTCATTTGCACGATACATGAAGAATAATAAGAGGGAAAAAGTGCAAGTAACACTTGCATGATCATGCAAGTCATTGTGAGCACCTCCATTTGTCCTAGGAATGTCATAATTTTCTGAAGAGTATTGACTTCGGAAAGTAGGAGCTAAAAACCTATTTTAGCCTGTTTATGCTATCAACATTCTTGCTGATGTCCATGTTCTGCTCGAGGATATCAAAGAGCAGAAACAAAGAATCACATAAATTTTGAACCCCGTTGAAGAATTGATTGGAGGGAGCTAGCTCTTTAGCTCAGTATGGGATATAGTGTTCACCATTTGTTACTGCAAATGAACCAAGTGTAGCATGAATAATTCCGA